GTGTGCGCGTGCGTGTGTGCATGTGCGCATGCGTGCATGTGCGTGTGCATGTCAATGGGCTGGGGTGCTGCAGGTTAAACTTGGCAAATTAAAGTTTCGTGCATTGTCTTCATCTTCAGACATAGGCATAAGAATTCAATTGTCATTCTCAAGGAAAATGCAATCTTATTTTTACTTTCTGTTTTCTAGGTGGTGGGTTCATTAATGTCTCACTCAAGCTCTGTTGAATGCATTGGACTCTCAAGAAGGTATGATTGTTCTCATTCACATATTCAGCCTCATCATATAAATTTTTCATCCTATTTTAATAAGCAAACTCGTCCATCTTATCCTTCTCCAAATGTGTATATTTCTAAGATATTTATGATCATGCCAATTTATTTGTACATCTCATGTACCCCATTCTCTCATTTTTCCTCTTTATCCATTGGCATACATAATCAATCACGCGTACGTATATGCATGTATGTATGAATAGCACTTGCTTAATTCCCCCTCAACACATATTTAATTCACATGTTTTAGTCACTCATCTTTATGTAATTAGCTGAGTATTTGTGACTCGACTTCTTTAACGTGTTCAACCATTTACTCTTGGGTTGCAGCGGCCCTTGGTGTGCAACTGGAGGCATGGATCAGAAACTCATCATCTGGGATCTCCAGCATTCTTCTGTTCGCTGCACTTGCGATCATGAAGTCTGTACTATTAACATTCACCCTCATTCTCTTCAAAAATCCCTGTAATTATTCCCCCTTCATCTCATCACAATCTTCTCATTTTTTTACCAGGAAGGCGTAACTTGCCTTTTATGGCTTGGCGCGTCAAAATACATAGCTACAGGCTGCGTTGATGGAAAGGTTCGAGTTTGGGACAGTCTCTCTGGAAATTGCTTGCGAATATTCAGTGGCCATACGGATGTTGTTCAGTCTCTGGCAGTATTGAAGGATGGCAAATCTATTATTTCTGTTTCTAGTGATGGAACCGCCCGTTTGTTTGGGATCTCAGAGTTTCAATAAGATTTGAGATTGGGTATGTATTTCAAGAAAACTGAGTTTATACAGTGTGGTTGTAATTTGTATTTTTGAAGAATATTGTAACATGGACATAAGTCACTGATGATTTATATATTTATTTGATATCTACTCGCTCTGCGCCTTTAGAATCTTTAATGGTTGGGAAACTTTGTGATCGAGTAAAAATTTCATGAACGCCCAAGAAGTTTGGCCCATAACCCCAAAGTTTGGACGTGTTAGTTGCATTTTCCAGAATTTATTTGCTAACAACCTCCAATTCTTGGGGGATATCTGAAAAGGTTCAGGGGTTGAATGACATTTCCAAACATTGAGGGGTTATCTCAACATGTCCAAACTTCTTGGAGGCTTGTAAAATATAGCCTAATTCAAATGGACGGCAAAAGCTCTAGTTATTATGTTCAAGACCCCAACTTCAGTTTTTTGTTTATTAATTTATGGTCGCCTGACACTGTTTATTGTAACTGATATGAGATTTTTATGAAACTTACCTGATGACATGTTACTTATCTTTAGACCAGAATAGAAGAAAACTAGGCTTACAAAGATATTCTCACAAAAAAGTAAAGGTATTATAAGTCAAATTTCAATGGCAATGAGCAATCGAAACTATCGATGAGGGATGCTTCAGAAGAAGGCAGTACATCCTCAGAAATAGAAAGAATAGCCAGCACAGAAGAGATCAAAACATCAAGGATGCCTAGTTGTAGCTCTATTGGAGTTTTATTGTCAGTCTTCTTGTTTGCAATAGAAGCTACAACCGCATGCTTTACCGAGACATTCAACGTCGTGGATTATGGCGCAGACGCGAATGCCAAAACTGGAAGTACTGCGGTAACTCTCGATCCATATCTTTCAAAGAAAAACTACAATATACCTTCTATGTATGTCTTGTTTTTTCAAGCAACTCCCTCCTCTAACAATTTGGAAAAAAAACTAGTATTTATGATCATTAACGAAACCGTTTTCGTGAAGATACTTGGTTCATGAAACATCTAGATAGATAAGCTGAAATTTAGCTTGATGAAAGAAAAGAAAAGAAAAGAAAAACTAGTTCTTTTATGTAACCCTTTCTCAGGAAAAGTACTTTCTATACAAGAACATTTTTCCCCCTTCTCTATTTTCGTCATTTTCCAAGAACTATTGATTTGTGTATCTAGCCATAAAAAACAAAACTCCGTTACAAAATTACAGTTTCATGATCATGGATGAGATGTATGTTGAACTTCTTTGATAGGGGGTCTCTTGAGAAACATGACACATATGAAAATGGTTTCTTGAAAACATAGGTGATTGCTTATGATCGAAAACATTAGTCTAACGTATTATTTGAGCATAAACAGGCATTTCAACATGCGTGGAAAGAAGCTTGTGCATCAAAGGAGCAAAGTGAGGTTCTTGTTCCCAAGGGAAAATTTCTTGTAGGTCCCTTGAAGTTCAAAGGACCATGCAATGCAAGCATTTCCTTCAAGATAGAGGGTACAATGGTGGCCGCCGCAGATCTTACTCTCTACAAAACAACAGAATGGATTGCGTTTCATTATGTCGATGGATTGAGGATCAGAGGAGGAGGAACTTTTGATGGGCAGGGTGCGTTGGCTTGGCCGAAAAATAACTGTGACAGGGATAGACACTGCAAGCGTCTTCCAACGGTATAAGTTATTTTTATTTGTTAATATGCTTGGTAACTGGAAAGTAAATGAAAACTGAAAAAATGAGAGAGCCCTCACTTTTTGTCTAGAAGTAACGTTTGGATGGTCGAAACTGAAAAAAATGAAAGTTGAATTGACAACTAATGTGAATATTTAAAAAATGAAATCTTTTGAACGCAATAAAATGAGACAAATTCTAAAGAATAATACAGCATCTAGATCAGAATGTGTAGCTCACATATATCTTCATATGTCCGTGGATGTCTCTCCTTTCACATTCTATCCACTTTGGCTAAATTTCAGAGAAAGTGAAAAGTTTTAAAATATCGACATGAATTGTCAATATTCGATTATCGAACAGGAAAAAAAATACAGAAAGTCAAGTCATGCACTTCTCTAATTTCTATTTTCATTTTTCATTTTCTAGTGCCAAACAAGCTGTTAATGAAACAAATAAGAAAAATACTAATGTGTTCTTTTTTGTTTTCCTTCTTCTTTTCGAAAAACAGTCTATAAACCTCAGCTTTGTGAAAAACGGAACAGTTGAACATATTTCATCACTAAACAGCAAATCCTTCCACATGCATCTCTTCAGGTGTGACAACATGAAGCTTCACTCTCTCAGCATCTCGGCCCCTGATGAGAGTCCCAACACCGACGGTATTCACCTCGGTGACACAAATAACACTGTGATCACCAACTCAACAATCGGCACAGGTGCCCATCTTCTCTCCCTCTCTCTTCATGTATACTATGTATCTATTTTCTCCGGCTAATAAATTGCCTGAATATTTCATTTCAGGTGATGATTGCATTTCTATAGGACCGGGAAGCAGAAACATTTCGATATCCAAAGTATTATGTGGTCCTGGGCATGGAATCAGTGTCGGGAGCCTCGGAGGTAGCAAGAAGGACAGGGATGTTTTCGGTTTAAGCATCAGAAACTGTACTCTTAGCGACACTCAAAATGGAGTCAGGATCAAGACATGGCCAGATTCACCGACGTCTATCTCTGCCTCCAACTTCACGTTCGACGATATAGTGATGAAGAACGTAAAGAACCCTGTTGTCATAGATCAAAAATATTGCCCGCATAATCACTGCAGTCGAAATGTACAAACTTTTTCACCGTAAGTTAAGTTTTCTAGCGTTGGAGTTGATGAAAATGATTATTGTTGTTGTTTTTTCCCCTTCCTTTTTTGTTGCAGACTCATTCTAAGGTTAAGATTAGCGACATAAAGTTTAAGAATATCAGAGGGGAGTCAAGGACGCCCGTGGGAGTTGATTTGTTCTGTAGTGCAGCAGAGCCTTGTAAAGGGATTGAACTCAATAATATCGATCTCAAGTATATCGATGAAGAGAAAGAGGTAACTGCGATGGTTAACATTACCAATGCTAAGGCACTTCTGTTGGCTTTGTGACCCCTAAGATCTTGCATCAGATCATCCATTTTCGACATGCACCACTGTGTTAGTTGTTTAGAGAGAGAGAGAGAGAGAGAGAGAGAGAGAGAGAGAGAGAGAGAGAGAGAGAGAGAGAGAGAAGAGAGAGAGAGAGAGAGAGAGAGAGAGAGAGAGAGAGAGAGATAATCCTGGAACTCTACCTTTGAATTGTTGTGTAAGTAGTAACTCCTTCAACTGTTTGTTCTATAACTAGAAATTCCTTCAACTGTAATGCCAATGGAAGCTAATTCTCATATGACATAAGTTTGGTCTTCTCTTTTCAAGATAAAACGTAACCAACTACAAATCCCAACACAGATTTCATTGTTGAAAACTTGATAATACAGTCAGGAGCACAAACCTTGTGGCACTTCAGAATATATAGACCCTATTCAATCTTTAATATTCCTTGGCTATGGCTAGCATAGAGAAGAACATTCAACAATATAACAAAATTAAAGAAAAAGGCTTAAACTTATGCAGCAAATGCTCCATTTTGCTAGATTATAAGAAATTACTAGGCAATTCTTGATAATGGCTGTCAACAACCTATTTCTCTTCAATTATACAGGTCAGAGAAACGTAGCGCCTGAGTATCATAATCATTAATTCATACAAGATTGCAAATGCATCAATCTCGAATTTGCTGTCCTTGTGTATTGGCTTCAAAACGAGAGAAATGATAACTTGGAATTTATCATGTTAGTTGAATAATGTTCCGTCCAAAAGCATTATGAATTTCCTTGTGAAAGCTCGAGAGAAACAGGACAGTGATCACTTCCATAGAAACCTGCAATCAAAGGGAAAAGAAATATAACAATGAATGCCAGAAATAAATTGCAGGAAAAAGTACTTTCAGAACGTAGCTAAAACAGTCATGAAGAGATATTTAGAGGTCAGCTTATGATAAAATATACACATTACAACCTAAGTTTGTGGCTGAAATTAATACACCTGAAACAATGACGCATTTGAAAGAAAACAAAGTTTTTATATCAGAAGGTTTAAGTTCAGCTCCATAAGTATGTTGATAGGCTATAAAATAATATCATTATAGCAGGAAAGTGATATAGAAAAGTAGAAACGCCATCTTATTTCATTGTAATTATCACCATCATTTTGTATTGCATCATCATCACCAGCAATATTATTTATTAATACTGTTATTATCATCACCATCATCATTAACAACCCTTGCTCTCTAGGTTTCTAAGCTCCCATGAAAATGTGTTCATCCTCTGAACAATTGATATATTTAGGTTTCCGGTTCCAAATTAAGCACAGAAGGACAAGACATCATTTCTACTCAAGGATCACCAAATTAAGCACAGAAGGACAAGACAGCATTTCTACTCAAGGATCACGAAAGAGCAAACAATTTAACAACACATACTTAGTAGAAACTTACATAGGACGTATAGCCTTCAATAGGATGAACAACAGGAATTAATAAACCAAACTAATTAGCTGTACAAATTAGCTCAAAGGAAATTAATTATTCTCATCTTACCTTGGAGTTCGATTCCTTGCCCATGCATTTCACATGCAACAATCCGGTCCTTTAACTGTTCCGACACAATAAAATAATCTATCCTCATCCTCTTGCCTCGATACCTGCAAAAAAAGAATTTATTTGATCCTTAATGTGGGTGATAGCGTATATATGCAGATACACATCATTGCATACTACTAGAATAAGAATCTTTACAGACGGGTTACATTAATAACTAAAGAGTAGTAAAATAACAACAATAGGCTCTATGAAAAACTATAAACATAGAATATGCATTTGAATGGAGAATTTACATACTTGCCAACTGGGTTCCCAGACCAAGAAAAGCCTTTTTCCATATCTTGCTCTTTGTGGAGAAATCTATATGCATCTATCAGCTTTCCTCTGCAATGAGTATACTAATAAATTAGATAGTCAGGACAAATTCCTTTGACGGGAAATATAACATTTAAGTAGGGTCTATTGCAACAAAAAACAAAAGAATATAATAAACAGGAAGACAATCAGATTTGTCTATACTTTTCATTTAATTTGGTGCGTCCTTGACCTCAGGAATCTTTATTTATCGATGATATCTTTGTCCTCCTCCTGATTCTAATTAAACAATTTACTGAGTTCCAAGTTAACTAATTGAAAACTTTACCTACCAAATCCTATACCAATGCTTACCAACTGTGAACAATCTTAGAGAGAAGCACTAGTGATAATTAACCAAAAACCTCCTCAATTTATTCAGAAGTGAAATGAGAATTTTTTTGCTAAAGATAACTATTGTATATATTAACTTTTGTCTGACAACTGATGCACAAAATTTGCAGGAATCGAATACGAAGCTTTGTAAATGAATATCAAAATGTGAAGAAATGGTGACCATGACATATTTCTATTATTATCTAATAGGAAAATGAAAGAAAATAGAAAGAGAAAAATTTTCTCAAATTCACCCACTGGGACAGTATATTACTGAAACGCTGCCTTTCTGCCAGCGTAAATCCTGGTTGTCCACAATCCTGCACCATGAACAAAAAGACTTCCTTGTTTGATTCAAAATGTTACTAACAAATCACAAGATAAAATGACAGAAACTTAAAAATATATCAGCAATGTAAGGAATATGGCATCCCCGTTAATACATTAAAAAACCTATATGATTTTGTGGCTTTAAATATGGTTATTAAAGTCCAATTACTATAACTGAAGTCACAGACTGATGAAACATTTGCAGAAAGATAACATGAAAACTGAATCAATTTTCAGGTAAAGAATGATTACTGGATTCTGGATATAGGTTTACTTTTGCTTGACACACAAAGATACTAATATGTAAGTCAATGGCTTGATGCGCAAGCTACTACTCTAATTCAATGAGCTGAAAAGATGAAGCACATATGAACTAATGGGAAAGCTTCACATCAAATTACTGGAAAATATCGCCAAAATACAATCGAACTTGCCTCTTTATTTGGAGGAATGTAGCCATTAAGCTTTGCACTACTAAAAAAATCCGGATGACTAACATCCATGTCCTGGTGGCTGCAAAAGAATGCAATAAAAAGTAACCAATATATCAGATGTAACCAGTACTTTACTGATGACAGAAATAAAATTTAAGAAGTGAAACCCAAAATGTAGTGTTGATCTTACACTGTAAAGCAGTAATAGAAAATATCAGAAGGTTTAAAACATAAAAATGTAGCAGATTTTACACTGTAAAGCAGTAATAGAAAATATCAGATGTAACCACTAACCAGTACTCTACTGATGACAGAATTAAAATTTAAGTAAGTGAAACCCAAAATGTAGCGTTGATCTTACACTGTAAAGCAATAATAGAAAATATCAGAAGGTTTAAAACATAAAAAATGTAGCAGATCTTATGGAAAGGCTGCACAAGATATATAATCAAGAACTTCGATAAAAGGATTTATTACAAGAAAAAGTGCATAAAAGAGGGAAAGAAACTTTAATGGTAATAGAAAATATCAGATGTAACCAGTACTCTACTGATGACAGAAATAAAATTTAAGAAGTGAAACCCAAAATGTAGCGTTGATCTTTAGAAAGGCTGCACAATATATATAATCAAGAACTTCAATAAATGGATTTATTACAAGAAAAAGTGCATAAAAGAGGGAAAGAAATTTCAATGGTGATTGGTATGTCCTGTTTAACAGTCAATTACCTTACGTTCAGATCACCGCACCAAATCAAGGGTTTCTCAATTTGTAGAGCAAATTCAAGAATTCTTTTATCCCATTTTCTTCTTCTTTGGAAAGAATTTTCCTCTTCTTTCCAACCATTGTTAGGTACATAAGTATTCAATAAGAAATATGACTCAAATTCAGCCAAAATCACCCGTCCATCAGGTTCATGCTTAGAACCTGCCAAAAGAATAGAAACATGTAGTAACTAACATCCTGCTATCGCATTAGACAATCAAAGAGGAAGCCACATGTAGTATAAATGAAACAAAATGAAACATATTTCACTACAATATGCTTTGACCCAAGCAAGTTTGAGAGTTTTAAAGCTTCGATGGCAAGACTCCAGAAGTGAGAAAAAACTAGAGATATAAAGTTCTCAAGGCTAAAAGGCTATGAGAATTTATATAAAAAGCTAGAGTTTATGGAAGTGGAAAATTATGTATATAATCTTGTCAAGATGGGAAAAAGAAAGATTAGAGACTTAGTTAACTTTAGAAGTATCAAAGTGAAGAGCAAAGAGTTTTAGTGACAGATGGTGAAACTAAAGAGAGGTAGAGGAGTTATTTTTCGTAAATTGTTTAATGATAACCAAACATGAGAACATGCGGCAATGGAAATCAACATCCTATCTCTCTAAATCTCAAAAGCATTACCTGTTCGTTCTAGACAGCATGAGACCTTTTTTGGCTGAAATTGTCTTTTAACAAATAAAGCAGTCCCACCATACTTAGAATCTGAAAGAGACCACCAGACACGATAATTTCCAAATGGAGGACTTGACAAGGCACGCATAAGCACCTGCATGGTAATGAAAATAATAGCTAATAGGCATTCAGGTGAAACTAAAATAATTGAATAACAGATTATCACAATTTGTGCTCATTGAAGGATATGCAGTGAACAACTAAAATTTGTATGCCGTAATTTCTTCAAAATATTGGCCTAGAAGCCATATATTAAAATGTTTACTCTAGGGTTACTTTATGACATGAAATTAGACAAGTATAAGACGAGAAATGCCAATGGCAATGGCATAGTAAATTTCATGCAATCTCCTAGTCTTTAATAAACTCAGAATCATGGGGAATTGATGCGGCCAGTGCTCTTCTCTTACCTTCTTCTCCTCACGAGCAGCATTTGTGTCATCTTTCAGTGCATTTGGATTCTTAGGTGCACCCTTAGAACCAGCAGCGGGCATTCGAACTTCCTACAAGAAGATCACCAATTCAACTACATAACAAGAATGATTTTCTCAAAAGAAAAAAAAAAGAAGGTATTATCGTAATATTAGCATTGGTTTGATATAAATACTCAGTCTAATTTGTAAATTCAATCATTTGTAAGTTTGTAACATTTTCTGGGTACTGATTAACCAATCAAAATAATAGTAATATTTCATCTAGGATTCACAAAACAATAAAAAGTAATATCTTATATTATTTTATGTGGTCAATGTCTCACAACTACCCACAGTATGCACAAGCACATGAGCATGCTGACAGTTAATCAAACATGCAAAATTATAAATAAAATGCTTAATTGCATTTAAATACCCTATAGTTTCCCCTACTTATATACCCTCACTTGTTTTTGGTAGCACTTATATACCTTAATGTTTTTAAACCTTACACACATGCTATCACTTGTTTTCTTGCAGCATTTATACACCCTAAAGTTTTTCAAACTTGCACTTAAATATCCTAAAGTTTTTAAAATTTGCACTTAAGTACCATAAAGTTTTTAAGACTTGTACTTAAATATCCTAAAGTTTTTAAAATTTGCACTTAAGTACCCTAAAGTTTTTAAGACTTGTACTTAAATACCTAAAGTTTTCAAAAATGAGGGTACTAAGTGCAAGTTTTTAAAACTTTGAGGTACCTAAGTGCAAGTTCTAAAAATTTTAGAGTATGTAAGAGTTGAAAAAACAAGTGAGGATATAAAAGTGCAGGTTCTAAGAACTTTAGGGTATATAAGTGCTGCCAGAAACAAGGGAGGGTATATAAGTGAAAAGGTTTTTTCCTAGAAACCACCTTTTAAATAGGTTATTTTACAAGAACCACCTTTCATTTTCAGTTTGTATGTAAACCACCTTACAGTGGATTTTTGTTCTAATCAACAACCTCCTAGCCAAATCATCACTAAAAAACCAAAAATAACCTTAAACAATACATGTTTAAAATATGTGACTTGCATCCCAACTAGACTTAAATGTTAGCAAAGTGAGTCACATTTGAATGCGAGTTTTTAAGGGGATTATTGCGTTTTTAGTAAAAATTTTGACCATGAGGTGGTTGATTGGAACAAAGACCCACTTTAAAGATGGTTTAGGTATAAATTGAAAATGAAAGGTGGCTCCCATAAAATGACCCCATTTTTAAGGTGGTTTCCGGGAAAAACCCCCAAGTGAAAAGTAGGGGAAACTATAAAAGAGTATTTAATGGCAATTAAGCCTAACTAAAAACATCACAGCCCAATGTGCATGCACTTTATGTCATCAAATGTGTCTAGCATGAAATCCTATCTTTAATATGTTTCACAACAATGATTCCCAAAGAATCCGAGCTTCTCTCAAAAACCCCAACTCTTAATTTCCAACTACAAATGCTACAAATTTATCCAAATTACATTGCATCATTCTCAACCTAGAAAACGAAAAAACCCAAATAAAAAGAATTACCCATGAGGTTAAATCGAAAAATAAAACGACCCATTTAACAGGAACAAGTAAAGTTTTAAGGAGGAGGACCTGAATGCAAATGGCATCAGGGTCAAGGGTCTGGATGAAATGCGTGAACTCAGGCCAGTTGTTCTTGACTCGGAGAAGCAAGCTGTTTGCATTCCAAGTTACAAATTTGACGGGCTCTCCCCCCTCCCCTCCTCCTCCTCCTCCTCCTCCTCCTCCCTTCTCTTCTTCTGATGTTTCTGCTTCGTTTTGGGTTTTGTGATATGACGAAAGAGGAGAGGAGAGAGTGGGCTTCTTTGAGCAGCCATCCTTTTCTATGGGTTTGAAGAATCTCTTCATTTCTAGAGAGAGTGATGCAGAGAGATCTTTTGTTCGGGGGGTTTCGGCTCTCAGAGCTGAGTATTTGGGGGAAGGGTTTAACGCATATGACCAATTTTGTTTGGGACAAATTTTAGAAAACCCTCTTAAATCTCAGAACGTCTCATAAAGCCCTCCTCAGCTATTTTAATTTTAGGTCCTGTTTGGATTCGTAGGGGGTGAAGGAAAGTTAAGGGAAACTGAGAGAAGGGAAGGAAAGGAAGTTCTCTTCCCCTTGGTTACACCCCAATTTGGGGTAACAAATTTTATACTATTAGGGGGTGAACCAAGGGGAACTAGGGTGAATTAACTTCACCTCCTAAGTGTTCCCAAACAAGGTGAATGGAAGTGAATGGTTCCCCTAACTTCCCTTCACCCTCATTCCCCTCAATCCAAACAAGCCCTAGTTCGCTGAGAAATTGAGAAAAGGAAATCAAAGAACCTAATGCACCTATGTGGGAGTGTCATATTTCCTAGAAGAAATTATTTTTTCTGTTTGGTTGAGAGAGGGAAAAAAAAGATATATTGTGTATGTGAGACACACCTATTGGAGAGGTAGTAAATACTATGGGTCCCAAAATAAAGAAAATCTATTTCAGCGAAAAAAACTGTATATAGACTTGAATACAAAAAAATGGGCCTCACAACCTATTTCTAATGGGTCATTTCCCAGGCTTAGGTTTCTGGGAAATGAATAAAAACAGGTCCTTAGTAAACCTCTTAACTATTTTAATTTCAGTAAACCCCTCGGATGTTGCAAACAAATCCTCCGACCCTCACCCGTCCATTTGGTAAATTTGTGAAAACCCCCCTAAACTTTTCTCACCTAATGCTCCTAACTAATACCATGCATTAACGTATCATGTGATAAGCGCGTGACTTCAAACGATGAAGAAATTGCTCAACCATATAAACATTAGCCTAAAATTTTGCGACCAGAAAAGCACCGTAAATGATTCAAAACGTTTTTTTTACACTAGTTGAGTGGCTTATTTCAAATCAAATGAGCTTTTTTTTCCCAAGGGAATATATTTAGATCATTAAGGAAATATATTTAGGTCACTTCATACTTTGAAGTAACTACATGAGGAGGTTTTCTAAGAGAAGTGTAAAGACGAGGAGGTTTTATAAGACTATGAAAGTTGAAGAGGTCATCTGTAGTATTCCTAAACTTGAGGGGGTTTAATTGTGAGATTAGCCCCCAGATGCTTGTTCCTTTTGTAGCTTTTTTGTGGCGGGTTCCCTCACTCATCAGGATAAGCTTAGACCGTTATGAATCATACAAATGCAAACTCTTTCTCCTCTCAAAACCAATACATTTATTTTTTTTAGCGAAAACAGGGGAGAAAATAAAATAAAATTAGGTGATCAGCAGCAGCGCTTCAATGGCCACAGCTACAACTCCGTTGCCTCCATCTCCATCTTGGGTCATTCCCACGAACAGAATCAATTACGGGTCTTTCGTTTGTTTCCAATTTGATCACCAAAAGGGTCAAAAGAGGAAAATTTTGCCATCTTCTTCTTCGGTTGGCATTAAATTGGGCAACGGGAGAGGAGTAGTCTGCTCTGCTGCTGCTCCCCCTTCGCCGTCGTCGCAGGCTCTTCCAGCTGCGCTGCTGTTCGACTGCGACGGAGTTCTTGTGGACACTGAGAAGGATGGTCACAGGATTTCTTTCAATGACACTTTTGCTGAGGTGATGCCAGATATTTTCTTTAGAATTTTGGAGAATTTTGTTGTGTTAATTTCACAAATCGGGTTGCATTTGTTTACACCTCTGATTTTGATTGGTGCCAATGGAATTTGGGTTCTTGTTGGTGATTTGCCTTGTGGGTTGGCAAATTGGAATTTTAGAGTCCTGCCCAATTTCTTACTATGATAAATATTTCACAAGAAAAAAAAACATTAGGAAATTGTTTGTCTGTCATAATTATGTAATTTAGGTAAGTCTATAACTTCAAACTAGTTTCACGAAGAATCTTATGAAATGAATTATTTAGTGGTGAAGATCCTTATGGACTTCAGCTAGTTGTTTACCCATGACTGATGCTTCTTCACTGCTTCTTTACAAGTAAGTAAATAAGTTAGGAGTCGGTATCGTTATCTTCTAACATTTTAGTTTCGGAACTAGGCTGCAAAGATTTTTTTTATGGAAAATGTTTTATCTGCAAGCTCGTCTTTTTTAACATTTAAAGTTGTTATTACAGAAGGAACTAGGTGTAACCTGGGATGTAGATTTGTATGGTGAGTTGCTTAAGATCGGCGGGGGGAAAGAGAGGTAAAATATCGTACATTATGATGGATTTACGATTATATTTGCACTAGCTGGGTAAGAATGGACTTAGTCTAGTTAGTTGGATGTTCATCAAACTTGAACACAACTTGGTTCCCTTCAATTGAAAACTAAACTTGAAAACTGTGTATATCAACTGATACTCTTTCGTCTAATATTCCTTCATCTGTGCACATTAACTATTTGGCAACCTTTGTATATTTCTTTTGTTCATTAACTTAGCTAGAGGAGGCATAGAAACCTTACTACTACTTTGAATTCAGGTGTGTTTTTTGGCCCCTTTTATCATTTTGATCGATTGCTGTTTCATTGTCTCGTTAGAATGACTGCATACTTTAACAAGACGGGTTGGCCATCGAAAGCACCGAAGACTGAAGAAGAAAGAAAAGACTTCATAGCTTCGCTTCACAGAAGGAAAACCGAACTGTTCATGGCCCTTATTGAGAAGAAGCTGCTTCCGCTTAGGCCGGGTGTTGCCAGGTCAGAATTCTCAATCCTCCCTCCATTGTTATTATATTTGAGCATATTTTTAGAAGGGGTTCCCTTAACTCAGTTCAAAAATCAAAATCATAGCACACAACAGTTGTAGAAGTAGGGGAGTTACCAAAATGACTGGATGATTAACTAATCTTTTCGTGTCGCCCTCTTAATTGCCTTTTAGGTTGATTGACGAGGCTTTATCAAAAGGAGTAAAGGTTGCTGTATGCAGTACTTCAAATGAGAAGGCGGTAGGTACGCATTACAAGGTTCCAGAATTTTAAGTTGCGGGCAGACTTATATGTTGCAATTTTGATCCAAGTGTTTTGGAATTAATAGTCGCGACATCAAATGTTACATGTTTCTTTGAACATAATCCCAGTAAGAAGCTTCACCGGGAAAAGCTATGTGTGTTAATAACAAAGTTGCATAACGTGATATTTCCATTTCGAATATGATATTGTATTATCACTTGATCCTTGGCATATTGGTCCTGTTCAATGTATACTACTGACTACTCTGGCTTAATTCTTCAACATACAACAGGACACACTGTTTTTTAAAGATATTTTTCACTGTTTCTATTAGAATAATGCTTGGTTTGGTTTGGTTTGCTGTTCGATTAACTGTGTTAGTATGCATTTAGTTGATTGTGGATATTCTATCGCCAACATTCTTGTTTTATCCGAGTTTTTTCCAACTCTCCAACATTCTACTAACTAAAATATGACTACTTCAGGTTTCGGCCATAGTTTCATTCTTGCTTGGTCCTGAACGAGCCGAGAAGATAAAGATATTTGCAGGAGATGTGGTTCCTCGTAAGAAGCCTGATCCGGTAATTTATTTGTCAAACTTTTAGTTTTTATTTGACTTGTGGGGACTTACTTATTTGCTATAAGCGAGCAAGAAGATTTATATCACTTTACAATCCCACTCTTTTTGTTGGTTGCTGTTGATATTAGAATCCAACGTCGTGATAGGCGAAAGAAGAATAGTAAGCATTTTGATTTCTATTCCGTGAACTCTGAGGCATATCATATCATCTGCTTTAGTGCTTGATAAGTAGGAATCAACGGAATCATATCTACTTCAGATATTAAGTTCATGATAACGGTTTATAATCACCTAACATCCATGCGTTCGCATCTTTTTTCTGATTAATATTACAGAATTCTTCAGTAGGATGTCTCAAAATCTGTTTTCTCCCCCTCTTGGCAGGCCATCTATCTGCTCGCTGCAAGCACTCTTGGCATTGAGCCCGCGAGGTATAGACTGAATTGTGATCACTCTTTGTTTACTTTTTATTTTTAGGAGAAAGATGGGTTTGGTACCTGCAGTTGGGAACTATTTGTTATTGAAGTTATAGGCCATTGAATAGTGTGGAGGATTGAAATTTCTAGTCTTTCAATTTCCCTTTTAAAAAAGGGTTTTCGATGAAATTTTTTTGTGATGCTATGGAGACAGTTCCGGCTTAAGGTGATCAATGCATCAAAATGATCTTTGTAAATAAATGCACATACAATCTTTACGACCTCTTCTAGACATTGGTATTGTATATTAGCATGGTACTTAAATATTTAGGAACTCGTCTATAGAAATTTTAATTAGCAATGTGATAAATTGTTGAAATTAGTCAAGCTTTTAATTCTAATGTGTGTATGTTACTCCATGGACAATTGATAATTATTTTGAAGGGGGCCTTTTTTTTCTAGCTTTCTGGATTACTGTTTCAGATGATGCTTAGGAGTATCACTTAAAGCGGTTTACTTCAAAAAAACAAATTTAAAATTAAATCAGTTCCCTTACTATCACTTAACCTAACCTGCATAATATTTTAGATGTACTCTTCAAGAACTTCATCTAATTAATGCAAAGAGTAAGTGCTTTAGTATCTAGAAATTTTTGCCTGAGCGAGGCAAGAGGTCGTTTTACGATCATGAATATGGACTCTAGGTAGAGCAAATTGTTGGATCTATGACAATATTGCCTCCATATTCAGACTTTCATTCAGCCATATCTACTGGACTTGAATTTGATTCTTATTTCTCAGTATGAATATGGTTTTATACATATTTATGCGATTTGCGGGCTAATTTCCACTTTCTTTCTTTTGCTTTCAGCTGTGTTGTGGTAGAGGATAGCGCGATTGGGCTTGCTGCAGCAAAAGCTGCTGGCATGAAGTGCATTGTAACAAAAAGCGGGTAGTTTTTTCGTTTATTTTATCTTATGAGATTCCACTGCGCGCATTGTGTTATATCCTCATCATTTCGTTGCATTAGAAGCTCTCAGTCGATATGAGAAAGCTATTAATGTGTTCTTGTTTACTGTATAGAGCTATTTCATGCAATTAATACTAAGCACGGTCACGAAAAAAAAGATTATATATCATGAATTTCTGCAAGTATGGTTCTAGTTATGTACAACTGAACGAGTTGTTATAAAGTCAGTCATTAAGAGGATGATTTTTTCCGCCGCCCTGATTTTCATATTATTGATCAGTTTCTGATTATTAACTCTTCTTTTACTGTTTCTTTAGCACGCTGCAACGAGACGATAATAAAACTCATTTAAGTGCCGCCACCAATCATTCTTAAGTCATAACCTGATGAAATCCGTTTGTTGTTTCAACCAACTAGATTGCTCAGCAATTTTGATATGAGACACTGTTGTCAATGAGTAAAAAACACGGCATATGTACTTCCCTGAAATTCTGTCAATCTGAAAACCTACAATATGAGGTGTAATTCGTTAACTCTACAATTAAATGACCTTAATTTTGAAGCAATGTTTGAGAATTTTTTTTTTCAGTTTTGATTTATGTATCGCATATTTTGCTCATTTCGTGTTTTCCTTGCAGCTACACTGCTGATGAGGATTTCTTGACAGCAGATGCAGTGTTCGATTGCATCGGAGACCCCCCTGAAGCTCGTTTCGACTTGACTTTCTGTTCTAATCTCCTGCAGAAGCAGTATGTGTGAGCTCAGCTGTGTTTGCTCTTGCTTCTCTTGTAAATGTTCGATTCCTGAAGGAGAATCACAGTTGTCAGTGCACCTTGTTCGCTGTTCCTTGTCATGAATTGGAGAATTTGAATGATTTCTCTTCTGTTTTCGGAAACCACTTTGTGCATTTGAAGAGATTTTAAGTAACCATAGTAGAAATCCTACAAGAACGTCCCATTTCTTGGCCTCGTAACGGGACCATGAAATACCAAAACTACCATTCTTATCCCAATCAAAATTTAATTTTGGAAAATATAAAATAATAATAAATAACCCACCGTGCGTGACCCCGACTATAGTTCAAATCATTAACATACCCAGATTAATTATAGTTGGCTATTTGAATGTGCGTCGACACAATAACACATCAGCCGTGTATATGTATTTATATTCGTATACATATCCATCAGAACAAAGTGTATACCCTACATATTTACCACATATCCCTATAAAAAAAATCACTTGCCTCTCAGTATTGACTACACTTTTGATCAGTCGTATACGTTAGCTTTTGACAGTGAACAGTATCCAACTGCTCTCAATGAACATTTTCTAGCTAGGAATATTCAAGCAAAGCACCACGTCATCAAGTTAAGAATTTGACGATGTTCTACTATGGACTAGGTAACTTTGACGACTGTTCACCATTGAATTTCCATTTAAATACCATATTTTCTCTCTCTCTTAATCCTAAACGCAAGAAGCCAACTTAATTATTTTTAGTTAATTAGGCAGCAAAACTATGGAATATTGGTGGGCTGTACGTGGACTTTTGTGACATAAGCTAAAGTCAGTAAGATTGATCTTAATTACTTTTTGCGATTTTTATGTAATTTGACCCCCTGAAAAAAGGACTCCTTGTTCTATAATTTATGTAGATGTTCTAAGAGTGTCTCGAAGTAAACTCCTTTTTATGAAATAAAAACTTTAGAATTTGACTAGATTGGATGTAGTACACGAGTCTAGAATATAAAATAGATTGCAAATGCTACATCTGTCTTCGGTATGTCATTCTCATACGAGTGGCACTATAGGCACACCTTGTGCCACACCCTCAGCCACACTCCCCTCTCTCTGCTACAGTAACCGGGCCCACATGAGATTTATTTTTATAAATCTCATGTGGGCCCGGTTACTGTAGCAGAGAGAGGGGGGAGTGGCTGAGGGGGTGGCACAAGGTGTGCCTGTATCATTTTTGTTCTCTTATTTTACTTCATAATTGAATGTCTAAAGAAACTAAATATTGATTATAAAAATAGCCATTAATTATTATTATTATTATTATTATTATTATTATTATTATTATTATCTACCTTCTTTATCAACTTTAGAACCTAGGCTGAACATCTATACGTCTACGTAATGATTCAACCAGGACAATATCCAAAAAAATAGATTGAAAGGTGGACATGCCCTCTTTTAAACTATGGTTGAAAGGTTAAAAAGGTAATTTAACAAAAAAATTCGCTCATTCATTATTTTTAAAATATTTTATCTATTTTACCATAAACATGTTAGGTACCGACTCAAACTCCAAGTTGGATGCGAATATGAAGGCTAGGCCCAGACTCCAGTCCTAGTAGTTTCTTTAGAAGCCAAGTTAACTTGGTGGGCCAGTCATGGTGTCTTTAAATAATGCATCTTATTCTAGAGTTTTAAATGGAGAGAAGGAAAGAGACAATATTCTTGTAATCGGGGTTTAATAGAGGGTGTAACCGAGTTCAAGGGTATTGTGAGGGATAGGATTTGACAGTCTTTGTTCTGTGCAAAAGATTATAATTTGAAGGTGATAGTGGATTATTTTCGATCCCATGGTTTTTCCATATTGAGGGTTTTTCACGTTAAATCTTGTGTGATTCTATTTACTGCGTTTGGTAGTTTTTGAGATTTTTACGAGATCTAAAAATCTCAACAAGTAGTATCAGAGCAGGGTTTTGACAGTTCATGGAGGTTCAAGCGGTGTGCGATTGGTGAAGGATTCAGTGGTTGAGGCACGGCGATCGACATCGGGCAAATGAGAGAACCAGACACCGGTGGAGGAGCAGAATCACGTGAACATCACGTTGAAAAAAAAGAAGCTATTGTAGCATCGAAAACATTATAGTAATAGGAACATTGTTCATGTGGGTGAGTGTTTGGTTAAAAAATTGTTAAATCAAATTCGACGATACAGATTAGTTTGTCTTCTGATCAAGGGTTTGGAGGCGGATTTTGGTAATCCAGGAGTCGTTCCTAGGATTTTCCGACATGTTGAGTTTGTTTTTTATGTCGGTTTTATCAAATTCAATCTCTACAGTAACTGATTTGAATTTTGATTGTGGTTAGAGGATGGTGACTTCTTCGGGTCTGAAGTTCGATATTCCGCTATTCAACACCATGACAAATTTTATAATATGGTAGTGCACGGTTCAAAATATTCTTGTGTAGCAGGGTGTTGATCAAGCTTTGAAGGAGAAGAAACCTGAAGGATTGAATGATGTTGAATAGAGTTTCATACAAAAGAGGGTGGTTAACACAATTCATTTGGCACTCGTCCCTAAGATCAAATATAATGTTATGCAGGAGACTACACCAAGGGGGCTGTAGGAAAGGCTTGAGGAGATTTATGTGTCGAAGTCGATGACCAACCGATTGTGTTTGAGGATGGGACTTTATTCGTTGAAGATGGAAGAAAGTACTGCAATTCAAGATCATGTCAATGCCTTTAATCAGCTAGTTTGCTAACTTATGAGTATTGATGAGGAGATTAAAGAAGAAGAGCATACACTATTCCTACTGTCTTTCTTGTCGAAGTCGTACAAACCGTTACCTTTTTAGACGATAATTGTGGGGTATAGAATTTAAAGTTTGACGATATGACAGTACTTCTACACGAGAATAAAAGAATAATGGGGAATGAGAGCACATCTAATAGTGGTGAGAGTGCACTAACTTTTGAAGGTTCTAATCGAGGGAGGAGTGATGGGAGATGTGACAGTTATCGAGGAAGGCCAAAATCCCAGGCTCGAGACGACAGTGAAAAGGAGTGCTATTATTGCGGAGAGAATGATCACATTCAGTTTAGATGTTCCCAGATACGAAATGATTTGAAGAGCATTAGACAGATGAAGCTTCAAGAAAATGTTAAGAATGTGGACTTCTCAATAGTTATGTGTGATGAAGATGTGGTGTTGTTGATGGAGAGTACGCGTACTAATACGAGTAACACTTTGGTGTTAGATTCTGCAGCCTCTATGCACGTTTGCAACAATAAAAATTATTGTGACACATTGAAGAAAAATGAAGAAATTGGCGACGTGATCGTCAGAAACAACGAGAATATGGTTGAAGGTGTTGGGAGTGTTCGCCTCAAGCTTCACACCGGGGAGGTCAGAATTCTTCGTCACATAAGATATATGTTGTCATTTGGTGCTAATTTAATTTCGTTGAGTGAGATGGCATCACGTGAGTACAAGTTTGTTGGTGAAGGAGAGTAGTCCAAAATGTATAGAGATGGTGATTTGATTTTGCAAGGGAGGAAGAATAGCAACCATATTTGTTATTTAGAAGGATGATCTATTAATGGTGTAGATGGTTCTTTTCAGACTCTTATTCACAAGGGAGAGGTGAAGAATAAGAAGAAGTGAGTGAGTTTTTCTGAAGTCGTTAAGGCACTTGGAGATTTTTTTTTTGTCGAGGGAGGACATGTTAGTTATCGACTCAAACTCCAAGTTGGATGCAGATATGAATGTTAGGTCCAGTTCTAGTAGTTTTCTTAGAGGTCAAGTTAACTTGGTGGGTAGGTCAAGTTAACTTGGCGGGTAAGTCATGAGTGTCTTTAGCATCCTATTCTAGGGTTTTGAAATGGAAAGAAGGTGGGAGACAATATCATTGTAATCAGTGTCTAATAGAAGGCGTAACGAGATTTAAGGATATTGTGAGAGAGAGGCTTTAGTAGTATTTATCCGTACAAAAAATTATAATTTGGAGGTGATAGTTGATTGTTTTTGATCCTGTAGTTTTTCCCTATTGAGGGTTTTCCACATTAAATCTTGTATGATTATATTTACCGTGTTTGGCGATTTTCAGGATTTTTGTGAGATCTAAAAATCCCAAAAAAAACATAGATAAAGTCTATACAATTGAATATTTATTTTTTATCTTTTTTATTTCTAGAACGTTTCAATCAATATTTTTTATTAACATAGATAATATCTAATTTCTTTATAAAAAGTTTATATAATTACATAAAGTTTAATTAATCAAATCAAGGTACAAATAAAAAATATCAAATTAGAACTAAAATTTAAGAAGGATTGTGACCATAAAATATGACTCAATTGGTAAATAATTCGAGGTGGATTATAAGATAATCACAAATTTAGATTTCCTCACTATTCACCTCAAAAAAAAAAATTCAATCACATCTGTTAAATAAAACTTTACTATTTTTAATGAATTAATTTCCACAAACAAACTTACAAAATCTTAAGCAGTAATTTTATTTGAGCCACAAAAAAATATCATTATTAGTATTGAATTAGTTTTGATTTTTTTGCACGTGCATAATGCACGTGCCTGTGATCTAGTTAAAGCTAAAGAGTCGCTAGTTTGCATGAAATCAGCCCACGTGGGCGGCCAGTTCTTTAAAAGAAACGAGGAGACGGTGCTATGTAGGTAATTGGGCCTTTTCAGGCCTAAAGTTTCTCACTTTATATAATTCTACAAGTGGAATTGTTTAACTAAGGGCTTGTTTGGATTGAGGGGAATGAGGGTGAAGGGAAGTTAGGGGAACCATTCACCTCCATTCACCTTGTTTGGGAACACTTAGGAGGTGAAGTTAATTCACCTCCATTCACCTTGGTTCACCCCCTAATAGTATAAAAATTGTTACCCCCCAAATTGGGGTGTAACCAAGGGGAAGAGAATTCCCTTCCCTTCCCTTCCCTTCACTTCACTCAGTTCCCCTTAACTTCCCTTCACCCCCTACGAATCCAAACAGGCCCTAAGGGCTTGTTTGGATTGAGGGGAATGAGGGTGAAGGGAAGTTAGGGGAACCATTCACCCCCATTCACCTTGTTTGGGAACACTTAGGAGGTGAAGTTAATTCACCTCCATTCACCTTGGTTCACCCCC